GTTTAGATTGCCTGGTGCGACAGGTTGAGTGAGGATGATATGTAGACACCGGGTAAGTGGTAGAGACTGAAGTATCTAGGAATTAGACTGGGAGAGAAGTAGCAATAGGGTGGCTCAGGGTAGAGGAAAGACATACTGTGGGAGATGCTGAGGCTTCTTGAGAAGATGGGAGTGGAGCGGAGCAAAGTACAGTTTTGGAATAGGCAGAAAGAGAAAAAACCCATCAGCGTGCTTCTTGTCTGGCCTCACAAAGATTTGAGCTTGTAGGAAGGGCAGCTCCTATAAAATACATTATGGGACCACCACAATTGGTGTGACTGAGCAGAGTAATTTGTACAGTCATGACCAAATAGAGGACAGCGGGCTGTGGAGTGACAGAATTTAGCTGGGTGGCCAAAATGCCAATATTTCTGACATTGACGGGGAAGGGGTCAATATGGTTGGACAGGGCAGGACACTCCACCAATATAAACTTCATGGGGAGGTCATGTCTACGGAAGCTAATCTTGGCAATGTTGGTGTAGGACTTACGTTGGCCTCTGGGAGGAATAATGTAGCACTGGTCTGCCACTGTATCACAGTCGACGAGGCATGCAAGCAAGTCTTTTTCATTTCAGTTTGATCAGTCTTTGCTGTAGACATGACAATCAGTCGGAGAGATGGAAACATTAAGGAGAAATGAGGTTGAGCAGGAACAGGTTTGCCAGTGAGGTCAGTCAGGGTATATAGTGCAGGAGCTTGGGACTCAGATGAAACTGTGAACAATCGAAACAACTGCGAAAGGAAACTTTGCTACTTGTATTTGGAGACCTTGTTGGAAGAGAAGGGTATTATCAGAGAACAGGCTGTAGGAGGAATCACAAATAATCGATCCCATATGACCCGGCCAAACAGGGTATTCAAAAAGTTTGCAGAGATGGAAACAATAGAAGGACATGGGGTGGTATGGAGAGAGGTAGTACTGTTGGAAGGAAGACTATAAGGATGAATAGTAGTAATAACGGGGGTGGGACAGACAATGAAGAAGACTGTGTAGTAGGGGTTGGAGTGGAGGAGGTTGGGAGAGAGGAAGGGGTTTATTCTGAAAGTTGAGTAATGACCTGGGTGGTTGGTTTGGAATACATAGAACTAACAGCAAAGACCGAGTGGTTGAAGCCGTGGTCAAAAGAGAGACAAGGGTCGGGAAACATGAAATCACGTTTAGATAGGCTTGATGATGAAGCGGCAAGCCTTATTGCCCCTAACAAGGGTAAGAAAAATCTTCCTTACTGGCCATGGTGAGCCTGAAATAAATGGGGGAGAGGAAACAGTTTAGGGTCCCCATGAGGGGTAAGGGCTAGGCGACTAACCAAGGGAATACCAAGCCCATAATTGACACGAAGCCAGTCTCTCACCATTTCAGCACGGCTCTCACACCTTAGGAAGTGGACAGAAGAAGGGGATGATGAAGAAGAGAAGGAAAGGAAAGAAAAGACCATGCAAAATTAGTTGAGGCGAGGGATAAGGTCCAAGATAAGGGTGATCCCTACATTGGGCCCCAGTCTCCTTTTCCTTTGCACCCCCACGATAACAACAAGCAAGGGATTAGGGATGGTAATGCTGGATGGCAATGAAGTGGCATGTCGCAGCAAAGGTTTTAACATATATACTAAGCTCAAACTTTTAGAACCTAATGTATCCAAGACAGCCAATGGTTGTCTTTTTACTGTACATTTTTTTCTCTCAGTAGTAAATGGTAGTTAAATTTCTCTGAGAATGCGAGTATATCAGCAAAACCTCCAGCAGGGAAATTAGATTACTAGTTTTCTCCTTCTTTGTTATTTGACTTTTTCAGCGTCCAAGTGCTTCCAACATTTTGCATTTTTTTCTTGAATGCCCCAATCCAGGGATTTGCCTTGATCACTATCATCAATCACAAATCAACAATCAACAATCATCAATCATCTTCATCCTAAAGTACATGTATCTGTAAAAATAGGAACTAAATTCCCTACGGTCCTCTGAGTTGCAATGCACCAGTAAGTAGCCTTGTTACAAACCTTTTTTGGTTCAAGTAATCTATCAGTTACATAGATTATAGGCAAAGAAATAAAAAGATGAGAGAAAGGGTTTGCAAGACTTCTTATATTACTTCCATTTCAGAAGTGTACTTTTTCATCAACAGTACTTTCATAACATCTGTTCAGCCTGTATATCTTGTCTCAACTAAGGAAACAAAGAAAAGTGCAGTATGTTAATAATGTTTCCATTTATAAAAGAAGCATACATTATATAATGTGAAAATAAGATCCTTTAGAAGTACCAGGCACATACTCCCTGCATTATAAATAAACTGAATAAAACATTCTGTCTCCATTGTTTTCTATGACTGTATACCTTGAAATCACAACATTAATCTAAGTTTGTGAATGTTTACATTTTACCCGAAATTACCAAATACTAATTCCAACTTAAAAAAAGATAAAAAGGAAAAACAAAATGCCATTACCTTTACAAATCAGTACTTTTAAAAATGGAATTGATAAACATATGGCTTAAGCTCCACATTATTAAAATGTAATATGTTTGTGCTACAAAATAAATGAACATATAGTTCATAATTATATTATTCCTGTTCTGTACCAATAGTCTACCAAGAGGTATAGTCATTATTATGTCAACATTAAAAAAGGTGAAAGCCCTCCTAAATTTCCAGAAATAACTTCCTTCTACTCATACACTGCTGAGTATATAAATGCATTCACAAAAATAAAAAGCTTAATCTACCATCTTATAATCTCTCGAAATAAAATATAAACCATTGACAAATGTGTTAAATGAACACAGGTACATTGCAAGGCTTTGTGGATATCCTGTAGTAAATACCTTAGAAAAATAAGCCTACATTTGATCTTTTAAAACAGATATAGATATTTAATTAATAGATAGTGTAGAGAAAAAAACATACATAATAAATAAAAGTTCAATGAAAATACAAATGAACTATGATCCCATTCATCAAGCTCACAAAGTAATCTGCTTACAAGACTATCCAGTGCCTTTACAACCATCTTTATCCCTAAAAATTACATCAAAATCTTTATAAATTGTTAGAGTCACTGGTTTATTACCGGGATAACCATTGTCCTTAATCACAAAGACTAGGCAAAGGAGAATCGACATTCCAAGGAATCAAATTTCTCAAATATTATTTTACACCTGGAAACCAATAACAGGGATATGATTTCACAAAAAAATAGTTCACCTATTAACACACAGAATGAGCAATAACCATTTTTGATGCAATGCTGTGGTTTGTAATAATTCTTTTTGTCCTACTTTTAAATAAATATTCAAGGTATTATCAGGTGGGTCACAGCCCACATCCTACTCATCCACTTCTTCCCAGATAACACATACACACCTAACTGTAAAAAAAGAAGAATCAATAACAATAATAATAATAATAATAATAATAATAATAATAATAATAATAATAATAATAATAATAATAATAATAATAATAATAATAATAATAATAGTAAATCATATAAAGTTCTAGGAGCCAGGTATTTACATTTCTCGATAATTTTCTTTTAACCATAACAATATTTATCAAGAGAGCTGTTAGAGAACCAATTATGATAAACATTTATGTCCATTCTTAGAAACACCATCAAATTTTTACTTCAATTCCCATCGTCAAGACTGAATACCTGGTATGATCAATTTACTTCTAAAAGTCTAGGGTTCTTTCCTTTAATGATGAAAACTTTCACATCATTTAAGGAGAACTTGAACACATCTTCCTTCACCATTACTGTAGGAAGGAATTGTCAATAGAATATTTCTAATTTACTTGTTGTTTCTTCAAGCCAGAGTAAGGACTGCTTGCCCCTTTACCCAATGAGTCTAAAAGCAAATGACAGCAAGCCACCTGTCAGGAGACCAAGGCCCAGCATGGCAGCCATCATACTGCTGGCCTTCTCTGCATTCTCTTCCGATACCATCCTGAGGAAGACACAATAATTTAGTTTAGTTTTACTCCATTTGTTACAATGCATATTCATGATGTGAAATGCTGTCTGTTTCATTTTGTTTCTAAGTTATCCCCTGTGTGCAAGGAATGGCTGGGGTTACCATCCACTGGCGGTAAGGGATTTGAACCCAGGTCAGCAAGATTACTAGACAAGATTACTAGACATGACCACAGCACACACAAGGGCTCAGGAAAATTATGAATTATACATAATCAATATGTGTGTGTGTGTGTGTGTGTGTGTGTGTGTGTGTGTGTGTGTGTGTGTGTGTGTGTGTGTGTGTGTGTGTGTGTGTGTGTGTGTGTGTGTGTGTGTGTGTGAGAGTTGTGTGTGAGTTGTGTGTGAGTTGTGTGTGTGTTGTGTGTGTGTTGTGTGTGTGTTGTGTGTGTTGTGTGTGTGTGTTGTGTGTGTGTGTTGTGTGTGTGTGTTGTGTGTGTGTGTTGTGTGTGTGTGTTGTGTGTGTGTGTTGTGTGTGTGTGTTGTGTGTGTGTGTGTTGTGTGTGTGTTGTGTGTGTGTTGTGTGTGTGTTGTGTGTTGTGTTGTGTGTGTGTTGTGTGTGTGTTGTGTGTGTGTTGTGTGTGTTGTGTGTGTGTTGTGTGTGTGTTGTGTGTATGTTGTGTGTATGTTGTGTGTGTGTGTGTGTGTGTGTGTTGTGTGTGTGTTGTGTGTGTGTGTGTGGTGTTGTGTGTGTTGTGTGTGGTGTGTGTGCACAGTGTGTGTGCAGTGTGTGTGCGGTGTGTGTGTGTGTGTGTGTAAAATATGCATGAAATGAGCATGCGGTGTGTGTGTCTGTGTGTGTGTAAAATATGCATGAAATGAGCATGCAGTGTGCAGTGTGTGTGCAATGTGCTTGTAGTATGCGAGTAGAGTGCATGTAGTGTGCATGTAGTGTGTGTGTAATGTGTGTGTAGTGTGTATGTAATGTGTGTGTAGTGTGCATGTAGTGTGTGTAGTGTGTGTGTAGTGTATGTAGTGTGTGTGTAGTGTGCATGTAGTGTGCGTGTAGTGTGCGTGTAGTGTGCGTGTAGTGTGCGTGTAGTGTGCGTGTAGTGTGCGTGTAGTGTGCGTGTAGTGTGCGTGTAGTGTCCGTGTAGTGTGCGTGTAGTGTGGGTGTAGTGTGGGTGTAGTGTGCGTGTAGTGTGCATGCAGTGTGCATGCAGTGTGCATGCAGTGTACATGCAGTGTACATGCAGTGTGCATGTAGTGTGTGTGTAGTGTGCATGTGATTTGCCTGCTTTATGCATTTGTGTGTGATAATAAAATAATAAAAAATGATCATCCAAATTGAAAAAAACATTGTAATATTGCTATAACAGCACAGAGTCTGACTAACATTCCAATGCAAGAACCACTTACTTGGGCCCATACGTCATGCAGAGAGATGAGCAGTATCCATTGGACAGGGAGAAGAGCAGCATGAACAAGATGTACCAGGAGTCGTGAGCGAAGACACTGGGTATGCTAGAATCAGGCTTGTTGCAAAACAGGAACAAGGGGATGAAGATCAGTCGCAGGAACGTCATGAGATACAGAATCCTTGACCCTTGTCGTGGCTGTGGGTAAAGAAGAAAAAAAACATATGAATAGAGATAATAAAAGAATATATGAAGACTAAGAGTAAAGCAATAGCACTAAGTAACACATCATATTCAGTGTAAACTGCAAACATAACAATAATCATTATCATCATCATTACTTCTACTAATAATAATGAGAATACAAATAAGAATAATAATGATAGTCACAATAATAATAATATTCATACTAATTACAATTATGATAACAATAGCAATAATTAGAACAAAATAATATTAAAGTAATAAAAAAAATAGTAATGATAAGGGAAAAAATATGATAATGACAATAACAACAACAATGAACTGCTCTCCACTGAGCCTTTAACCCACTGCCGCCGGGGAAAATTAATAAAAAATGGGGAAAATGTTGTGCTCATTTTTTATAGTTTTTCTGATATGTCTGCACATGGATGGCTCTGCTAGTGCTTAGCCACAAAGGAGTCAATTAGGAGACCTTGAGACCTTACCTGATTTCATCTTTCCTTGAATTGGCAGGAAAAATGTATTTTCTACTAGTAATATGAATATTGATGATGTTATTTTTATTATAAACATTATAAATACTATAATGCTATAAACATTAGTAAAAGCAAAATAAGATAACGTAAAATATTTTTGTAAATCAAAGAAAAGGGTAAAGTGGCAAGACAGGCAACCCTCATAACTGGCTCATTGGTGACTTAGTACAAGTGTAGCCATCTATGGTGTAAAAACAATAAAGTAAACTCACAGTGGGCATGGCATACATATATACGCCATGCCCATCAGCATTGGGTTAAGCCCGTGATATCAATCCTATGTGCACAAATGTATATATGAATGTCATTGAAATCATTCTTATGTGCACAAATGTATATATGAATGTCATTGAAACAAATATGTATGTAAACTATTTACATAGAGATGACTCTACAAGTCCTTAGAAACCAAGGAGTTAATTTTTAGTCCTGCCTATCTCACCTACTTACCATTTTCCTTGATTTTCAGGAAGATTCTTATTTCATCATTATATCTCAATTGTTATTGGTATTCTAATATCATAATTAACCATAATGTCAGTAATAGTAACAATTACACTGACACGATGTGCAATAGAAAAAGAGACATTTTCTTGCAAATTCAACAAGCGGGGAATTAAGTGTAGTCACTAAGGCTTACTCTCGGACTCCTTGGTCAATGGGTACTTGTGGAGCCAACTGTGCACAGCAAAATTCACAAAAAACTACAGTGGACATCTTTATCATCACCATTTTCATAATAATAATAATAATAATAATAATAATAATAATAATAATAATAATAATATTAATAATAATAATAATAATAATAATAATAATATTTATAACTGTAAAAGTAATAGTAAGAGTAATAATAATGATAATAATGATGATGATGATGAAACCAAGTAGCTCTCTGACACAAAGTACACTGATGGTAAGACATGCATTGAAAGTAAATACCAGAGCCTTAAACTTTGTGTCCATGAGGGATAAAGCAGAAATATTTCATCAATATATTTCTTTACAGTCTGCATGCGTTTCCATATGAATAATATAGGAAGAAGAAGGATAACCATAAGAAAAATAACTGAAACTCACCCACATAATCATACCAGCACCTTGACGCCCCAAATAATCACCAACATTGAAAAGCAGGAATGTAACAACAGGTTGGAAATAGACATCTGCAAAAACAAAACAAGATTCAATATCCTGGAAGTTCAAATTATAATGTAAATCTTAATCTTATAGAAATGTTTTTTTACATTAAAAGTAAAAGGTGTCTTAAATAATTAATCATGCTGAGGCTACACATGATTCACCACCTCTTTTTTTCATTAAAGAAAAACCTTTTTTTTTCATAACAAATTTCTTATTAAATCAAATTTATCAATATCCAGTATT